AAAGAAAGAAAAAAAAAAGGAAGGAAAGAAAGAAAGAGAGAGGGATGGAGGAAGAGAGTGAAAGAAAGAAAGAAAGAAGAAAGAAAGAAAGAAAGGAAGAAAGAGAGAAAGAAAGAGGCAACAGCAATGATGAAGGCAGACCCTAAGTACAAGTAAATAAAAATGATCATATAATTATAAATAAAATAATTGTATTTAAATAATATAATTTAAATAATAATTATAATTATATTATAAGTAAATAAATAAAATAATAAATAATTATAATAATAAATAAATAAATAATAAATAATTATATTTAAATAAATAATTATATTTTATTTTAAATTATAATTAAAATAAAATAATATTATAGAAGATTACTGCAAGGCTATTTTTAGATTGAGTGGTCAGGGAAATTCATTCATTCTGAGCAGGCATAATTTAAGTAGCGATCTATATCATAAGAATCTGCTCATGTGAAGAAGGCGGTAGAACATTCTAATCAAAAGAAACAGGGAATGCAAAGGTATACGTTCTAAGAATTTATTTTGTGTAAGCAACAAAAAAGTCTAGTATGAGTGGAAGACAATGGTAAGGCAGAAAGTGATATAAATAATGTTAAAGTTTAAGGTAAGACCCAGGTCATATAGGGCTTGTTAACTATGTTAAGAAATGTAAAGTTTATTCTAAAAGCCATGGGAGTTCATTGGATAGCTATAAGCAAGAAAGTGTCATCATCTGCTTTAGGTTGAAAAAGACCAGTCTGGCAGTGTAGGAGGCTAGTTAGGCTAGTGCTGTGGGAGCAGTAATGAAGGACTGGACTAGCGTAATAGTAATACAAACGGAGGGATTTGTTTAGATGGTGTGGTTGAAATGAATCATTGGCAGGATTGAGGAGAAAAGGAACAGTGCCTAGATTTTTGTTTTCTGCAACAGATAAATAATGATATGAGAAGGTTTGGTGTTTGGTCATGTTAATTTAGATAATTATATTCAACACACAGGCCCAGAGATTAGTTGATAAGGTAGATGTACTGATCTGGAGTTCTAGGCAGCATTCAGGACTGGAAATAGGATTTGAGAATAATCAGGATGTAAGTATACTTCAAAGCCATAGACCAGAATAAAGGCACTTAAGGTAAAATCTCCTTGGGGTTGTATGTTGATGAAGAATAGAAAGGGCCAAGTATAGCTCTCTGGTCTCTCCAATGCTTACATTTAGAATTATTTGCTGAGAATAATTCAGCAAAGAGGACTGAGAAAAAGCTACTAAGAAGGGAGGATAAAAACCAGAAGGGCAGACATTACAGAAACCAAGTGTCAAAGTGCCAAAGAGAGAAAGGGTTGGACGATTGTGTCACTGACTGTTGTCAGAGTTTTACCTCAAATGTTGAATTACATGAACAAAGATTTATTGGACATTTACTGTTACAAACATTATGCCAGATACTCTGGGAAATTGTAACAAGAGACACAATTGGTGGCCTAGAAAATAAAGCCTCTAGATCAAAGTTTATTTCACTGTCTGTAAGTGCCTAACATGGTATTTGTCACTGAAAGTCTGTGTGTGTGTGTGTGTGTGTGTGTGTGTGTGTGTGTGTGTGTGTGTGTGCAGGTATACTACTTTACTAATAAGTATCAAAAATGTTTAAGAAAATGTGATTTGGATTTGAAAGGAATTACCTTTTGAGTTTCAGTCAAGACAGGAAGATGATAACATAAGGTCCATATCTGAAGGGCTTATATGAGATGGGTGACCTAGCAAACCTGAAATATGCTCTGGAGGGCTGGGGCAGAAATGGCATTTCAGAGAATGCAGCCATTCCCCAGAGCTCTGGTTTGTAGGACTTGACTTGCAACTTATTTATGCTGCATAGAAACCATCACAATTCTATGTAGACAGAGTTCAGGATAAGGAATAGAAATTTATTTACTTAATTATGGTTACTGATTCTATCTGAGCAAGCAGGGCAACTAGTTAGTTATAAACACAAAACCTAAGTTGCAAGAGCAATCTTTACCTATACATTGAGTAGTTTGAATAGAAAAGCATTTAAAGCCCTGAAAGATGTTTATATGGTAAAATAATTTTGAGTATTTGTAGTTTTCCTCTGTATTTTTTTCTCCTTCCTATCTCAACCTGGGAGTTAAACACTTGATATTTCTTTGCCTCAGGATTTTGTGCAGTTGAAAAACGCAAGCTGAAAAACTACTTGCAGACAGATCAGTCAGGGTTACCATGGTCACATGTGTGTGTATACAAGTTTGAAGTCACTGAAAAGGTTGTAAAGTCAAGCTTAAAAGCAGCAGAGCCTCCAAATATGAAAGAAAAATGTGAGCATGGGTCAAAGGCATTAGATGAAAATCAGTATGGCTTAATGATAGACCATCAGAGAAGCTTCCCACAGTGTAGTGTTGCAACATGATGTTCTAGGACCTTGGCACAACTTTGGGAGTTTGAGAAAAGCCCTGATAATGATTATCATTGAATTTCTCATTGGATTTCAATTAAATTAAAAATAAACGTGTTGTTATATATGTTAGTGTCCTCAGTTATTTCCATGTTCAGTGATTTTACATATAATTTGATTAAGTATAAAGCATAATTTATAGACAGATACAGAATATAACAGAAATCAGTATGTATGTGTCAGAACAATACTCACGGCCAGGAAGAGTTTGTGTAGAAATCCAGTTTGAAGCATTGCCATAGCCAGCATTGGTGCTGGCAGCCACTTGGAATCTATACCATCTAAATTTCTTTAATCCATATACTGTCTCTTCAGTTAAGTTAGCTTCATAGAGGTATTGAATTTTTTGATATTCAACACATTCTTCGGATTCCCATTCTTTGCATTTTTGAGCACGAAGTTGAGTGGTAATTTTGTAATTTTGAAAGTAGCCAAAGATAGCATCAGGTCTTATCCATGTCAATGTTGCACTAGTTGACTGAACATCAGAAAAAGCAATATTTGTGGGAACACTGGGAACTAAAAATTAAAGGAAAAAATTGAAAGCAGTTATAATTACAGAACACTTTATAAACAGAAGAAAGAATAGAATTCTATTATGGAGCACCTAGTAGAGATCTGTCAAATTACTACAGCACTTAGATTAATTATCCCCACACTTAATGAGAAGAACCTTAAACTGTTGCTTTCCAGACCACCATTTTAAAAAGGTAGAGGACAAAATAATTGTAATTTATTAATTCCTGATTTTTCTCCCAAATTTAATTATAAGTGGCTTATATAAACAAACTTTGGCTTCAAATAGAAATATTTAACGTTACAAAGGAAAACTGTATGTTCATATCATCCTAAGTACTTCCCTAGGTATAGTATGTGTTTGTAATTTTCGGTTCCAAGGGAAGATATTTATGTATTTAAATGTCTAAATAAACACAAGCATATCTTATATCTAGTAAATGTTGATTATAAAACAATTTTAAATAAACAATATTACTGACAATTCTAATGTATGTAATTCATCTTTTTAAAGTTTTAGCTCATGTATATTTAGAATTAACACATGATCCTGCTTGGAGTCATTTATTTGCTTTCATACTAACTACTGGTTTGCCAAATGCATATCATGTGTCAGGTTCTGAGCCTGGTGGTAGGAATTCATGTCCTGTTTTCAAGAGACAGTTTATTGGGCAAGTAATATAAGCATGCTATGGTTAGAAATATGAAAGAGCAATGAAATAAGTGGTATTGGAACTTTTCTCAACCATGCCTTTCTTTATATATCTTCAAGGACCCTTGTTAAGAAGATGGAGATAAAGAGAATCAAAATGATGACATGTGAAAATTACGTAATTAATGCAAACTGTATGTTAATATTCATATTTAAAAATAAGAAAATTAATAAATATTTAGAAAACTCATTGATTTCTACAGATACATTAATTCAACATTCAATAAATGTCTAAGAACATCATATATGTACAGGTGGGATTGTAGGTGCTGAAAATACAATGAATAACACAGACAAAAATTCCTACCTCTGAGAGATTTACATTCAGGGGAGCTATAAACAATAAAAGTATAAATAAGTATTGTACATAGTCACCTTTGGTATCTGCAGGGGACTGGTTCCCAGAACTTCCACAGAGAACAAAATCAGAAGATGTTAAAGTTCCTTATATAAAATGATATAGTATTTACATATAAATTATGCACATCTCATATAATTCAAGTAATCTCTAGGTTATTTATAATACCTAACACAATGTAAATGCTCTATAAATAGTTGCTGTACTGTTTAGGGATTAATGCCAAGAAATAAATGTCTGGACATGTTGGGTACAGACACATTTTGGTTTTGTATATTTTTCACCTGTAGTGGATTGAATCTATGGGTGCAGAACACAAGAATTCGGAGGGCCAACTGTATAGTGTTTTGGATGATGATCAGTGTTATGGAGAAAAAAAGAATGGGAATAAGGAGAGTTTCAGGGATATTGAAATTTTAAACTAGGTAGTCAGAGAAGAAATTAGAAGATACTAAGTTCCATACGTAGGTAGGAACCTACCCATGTGAATATTTCAGAAAGAGAAATTTGCAGCAGAGGAAACTGTACAGTTGGAGGCATGCCTGGTATATTTGGAGAATAACAAGAAGGCCTGAGTGCTGGTAGAAGCTACCAGTGTATGACACTAAAGGACATTGTCATGGCTTTAATTTGACCAGAGAAGTGACAGGCTCTCTCTTTCACAGAATAACTCTAGCTACTGTGTTTGGAACAGACTGAAAGGTAACAAGGCTGGAAACAAGGAGAGTAATTAGCAGGTTACTGCAATGTCAACACAAGAGATCACAGTGGCCTGGTCCAAGCTGGTAGCAGCAGAAGGGAAGAGAAACAATCAAATCCTGAATATAATGTGAAGGAGAGCTGGCAGGGTTTGCTGATGTGTGGTATGTAAAATATCAGAGAAAGACGGATAAAAAATGCTCTAAGGTTTTTGGATTGAGCAAATAAAAAGATGAAGTCACTATCAACCAAGATACTGGTGATTGTGAGAAAGATAAGCTTTCGGGAGGAAGATTAACAGTTTCTTTTGAGTAGGTTAAGTTTGAAATTCCTCTCAGACACCCAGAAGGAGATATCAAATACTAGACAGGTGCTTGAGTCTGGATTCTGTAGAGAGGTCTGGACTTCAGTTACAATTTTGGATTTCACCATAAATTTCTATCTAATTATTTATATATCTACTGCTCATATACTACATATATATATATTTACCAAAACATAAGAGAAGTTATAAAGCAATGGAAGACAGTTATTAGATTACTTAAAATCTTATGATCAGATTCAATTACTTTGCTTTTAAATATTAATACTTATTATAAAATCTTACTACATTTAATTGAACATTAACATTAAAAGTAGTAGTAAGACAGAGCATTTGTCAAACTATTTACAACACATTCTGTTTTACTTTTACCTATCATGAAGAAAAGCAATTAGAGAAAACACTATCTTTAGAAAAAAATGTACATTTTTAGAGGAAGAAGTTTTAGAATTGGCTAAAAAGTAGAATTTTCATAATTTTTTCAAATCCCTCAGTCACTAAATTTGAACTTGGATCATCCAAAAATAAGATACATTTTCAAAATATTCAAACATAAATCAGATACGTTTGATTGACTTGGGTGTGCAGAAAATGTCTTTAGAGAAGAGATGGTATGTGAGATGGAATTTCAATGATTATAGAAGTGGAGATCATAGAAGAGAGGGTGAGCTAAGACAAGTTTAATTGCAGCTTATAATTCATGCTGGCAATAACAGAAAGGCTGCACAATAGTTTGGGGACTTACTGTGTCAGAAGACACTATAGATAGCTTGTCAGGCAATGGAAAGCTATAAAAAAGTCACAGTATGTCCAGAGGTACATTTTATCAAGTCCAGTCTGGTAACTGCAAAACAGGAAAAGGGAGAAATTCAGAGACTACTTGATTTGTCCAGGAAAGACGCAATTAGATGATAGCAACAGGAAAGAAGCTTTAAAGATATATTTTGGCGACTGAATCCATAAGAACAGGCAAATAAATGAGAAAATCACAGAATCTCAGAATTTGAAATTGAGAGATCATCTTGGTCAGCTTGTCTCTTTGTCTGACCTTTGTGTCTGCAGATACCCCTCAAGATTCTCGGTCCCTATACAAACAGATTCTTCCACTTACTCAACCAAACCCTGATCTAGGTACAGATGGAAAGCTATGTTGCTGCTGTAACTAAGAATCATAATGAGTTTACTTTAAAATAGAGAACTATTCAATGGACCTGACCTTATAGCCTGAGCCCTCTAAAAGCAGAATAGTATTTTTGGCTGTTTGCAGAAAAGGAAGTCAAAGATTTAAAGAGATGGATTCAATGTACAAAAGTTTCTCCATTGCTGGCTTTGAAGAAGGAGGGAGCTGCATAATAAAGAACACAGAACATCTTTAGGAGCTGAGAGCAGCTCTTAGCTAAAAGCCAGCCAGGAAAGGGGCCCTCAGTCCGATGACTGTAAGGAACTAAATTCTGCCGTAACCTTGGGAGAGGACTCTAAGTTACACAAGAAAATGTTGACTAACAACTTGACTTTAGCTTGTGAGACTAAGTACAGAACCTAGGCACAGCATGCCCTGGACTTCTGACCTATAGAACCATGAGCTAATAAATGGGTATTGTTTGAAGCCACAAAGTTTGTGAAAATTTGTTACACAGCAATAGAAGACCAATACAACCTCCCCCTACAAAATGAGCTATCACTACTTAACCAGCCTCTGCTGACATATATAGAGCAAGGGGAAACTCAACACCTTACGGGGAGTTTATTTTAAAATTTATTTTCAGATAGCTCTATTTGTTTGTACAGCCTGAATTATTTTGAACTGATATTTACTTTCCTATAAATCTTAGCTCTGCCCTGAAAACCCACCCCAAAGTAGCCTAATCCACTTTCACCTCCACATCACCCCAACATTCTATATAAAAGATTGAGAAAGGTTTTGCTTCTGCATCCATCTCAATAAAAATATTTAAAAATTATCCAAAATATGTTTATTTATAGGTTATATACATATAAAATGTCAATGTACATATCAGATTGTGTCTCTCAGAGTCCAGACTACTGCATGAAACAAAATAGTGATTCAATAAATACTTTTTGAATGTGAGCAAATGAATCAAGGTTGTAACAGGGGACTTTATTTAGCTTTCCTGATGAAGGATAATTTAGTTAGAGATCTGAAGGATAAGAAGAAGCTTCACAGATAAAAAGTATCAGGATGTGTGAAGATGTTAAGACCCTGAAGAAGAAGAGAGCATCACACATTGAAAACATTTAATGAAGGCTGCTGAATCTAGAAGGAGACAAATGGGAAGAAAGAAAGTAGGCGATGTAGGTGGAATCACATCACACTGAGCCCTTAAATCAAATGTATGATTTTTAGCTTTATCTGAAATACAGTGGGATACTTTTTTTTTTTCAGTCAAGGTCTCACTCTGCTGCCCAGGCTGGAGTGCAGCCTTCCCTTTCTCTTCATCTAAACTCATATTCTACTCCCTTCCTCATGCCAGTCCCTTCCCTTACTTCCAAAGAGTATACCCAGAGTGATTGTCTTAGTTAGTTTGGGCTGCTGTAGCAAGTTACTATAGACTGAGTGATTTGCAAACAATAGAAATTTATTTCTCATCCTTCTGAAACTGAAAGTCAGAGATCAGGGTGCCAGCATGGTGGAGTTCAGGTAAGAACCAGCCTCTTGATTCCAGACTTCTGGCTTCTTGCTGTGTCCTTGTATAGCAGAAAGAGGGCAAAAGAGCTCTCTGCAGTCTTTTTATAAGGGCATTAATCCCATTCATGAGGGCTCTACCCTCATGACCTAATTACCTCTCAAAGGCCTTACCTTCCAACACCATCACACAGATAGTTAGGATCTCAATATATAAATTTTGCAAGGGATATAAACATTCACTCCATTGCAGCAAATCATTTGTTAT